CGGAACCACCCATATCCAATACCTCCTCGGTGACGGGGGGTACAAGGATTTCCAGAAACTAGTGGAGGAGACAAGCCCATACGGCCCCCCCCCTACAGAAACAGACACGTAAAACAGATTGATACTTCCCCATTTCCTTTGTCACATTGAAACGTAGCGAACGCCCGATCTGAACTCGGCGGCTCCTACCGTCCTAGTGCCCAGATGAGGACTTATGTAACTAGCTTACTTAGTGGACGTTAATAATAAAACAAACAAACAAACAAACCCCATCCCATAGGTCCAGCATGGCTACACGCGGATCAGTTATAACACTAGAGAGAGAACATGGTTTATCTTAGTATCCGCTATATCCAACCTTGCCATCATTGTTTTCACTTTTGCCTGGCGCGCTTCACTCCCTGAGACTTGACTCACGCCATTTACGCGTTTCAGCAAGCTTCGAAAATGTTCTATCTGCAGATTCAATAGACCTCGCATCATGTGCAGCTGCTCTTGGGGTATGTAATTCTCCCCGTGAATATTAGAGAAAATGGCAGAATTGCATGATGCTAGCTCTGCCGGTCCTCGAGTTGAGCTACAATATAGCTGTGAGTGACGATTGGTTGACGAACTACCTGTAACGATTGATGTTGAAGGGAGAGGTTGGCTCTCGAGACTTTCAAGCTCATTGAGTCCTGCAGCTGAGTTGTGGAGTCTTTTACAGAGACACTCAAATATTTCGGTAAGACGGTCGCAAATGACGACAATGAGGGCCTGTACTCGAGGGAGCAAACAGCATATCGGACAGTCCAGGGCTAAACAACATTGAAACATAACCCATTTCTGCAGCTGGACCACCCCCTCGATCGAGAGTTCGGTGATATGGAATTCGTCGTCTTCTAAACGTTGCAACACAGTGACGCTATTCTCCATACAGCAGCAGGTCTTATAGCTGCAAAAAGAGTCTGGAACGCCGCCGGATTCTTGAATTGGCGGGGTGACTTGTCGCGTCAAAGGCGTTAATCCCGTAGACTGCAGAGGTGATTTTAGCAACGAACTAGAAGTCGGAGCAGCGCAGACACGTCCGAAGTCAGCACTACAATCAGTGGTATGCAAAGGCGTCGCCGAGCCTGGCGCTTCGGCGCGTTCAAAGATATACATGTTAGGTTCCGTGTTGATAATGCCCCGAGTCAATATACTTACCTGCAGTATCCTGTACTCCAGTCATTGTTTGCTCCGCAGTAAGCGGCTGATTAATCGTCGCGTCTTCTTGCAATCTCTTCGCCTCAACACTCTGATCTGTAGGTGATCTTGTTGCTCCTTGAGTCAAACCATCCAGCAACCCTGCTTTGCGGATAACTTTCTTCTGAAGTGTTGGCATAATGCACCGTATAGCGCGACTGCGACACCGGTCACAACGTTGACGCTGGCCTGTACACCGGACCTTTGACCATTTCATATCAGCACACATCCAGCCGCGCTCATTAATAACAGCACAGCTGCGAATGCAAATGCGTACCTTTTTGATCTTGCAGGCCAAACAAGCTGATCTCCTAATCGGGACGGCATGATTTTCGCGGATCTCACTGGCTCCTCCAGCAGCCGAAGAGTCTGCATTTCTTGATGCAACCTGTTCCATACCGATGGCATCTTGGTTTTTGGACGTTTTCAGTGTGATGAACATGTCGAGTTCTGGTAAGTGAAGGGTATGGACATAGCCACAGGATGCAGCAGGAGAAGAGCTCACTGCCTGCTGCAGCAAATATGTAATGTAAGATACCGAGAAATTTGAAGAAGAAGTAGCAGAATTTAGTGCAAAAAAAAAGGTTTCCGTATAAACTGCCACAGCAGAGCAGTCACGTCGTGGAGTGCAAAAGGGTTAGTAATAGCTGTGTGGTGACGAGAGAACTCGTTCCGTGAGGAACAAGTCATTTGAGTGAATATTTATGCTTAGTAATACCATAAAGACCTGCTCTTTAAGACAGAAACTAATATTATTTCCAGGATTCTGTATTAATAATAGGTTTCAATTCATTGCTATTTCTCTGCGCATTGGCATACTAATACTGAGCTCTGAAGGTAGTCCACCGTAGCGTAGATACGTTCTCACAGTACTTTACGACCTTCTTTCCTGACGCTTATTTCCACCACTGAACGTTTCGTTCTGTCTTGTCGGCGAGATGAATCGCCATGGATACCTCAAAATATATTTAAGAAATTGGAGCTCACCAGTGTCGGGCTTTAACGAGCAGAGCCGAATAAAGAACGCGATTGTCATAAGCGGGACAAGCCAAAATCCATTATTCATAATCTCAAACGCATTCGCGTTGTCGCTTATACCGTTATTGTGCGTCGCCAGCACAGAAAAATTCCAAATTAATCGAATCGTAATAAAGACCACTGCAGTGATGTTTGCCGCGTGGGTAGCTTGCCGCACATTACGTTCCGCAATATCACGCTTCTTGTCACGGCTTGCGTCATAATTACTGAAGCAAAATGGGCCAAGGATAATGATCGTTATGGTTTCTTTGAGAAGGTTTATGGCTCCGTGAAACCAACCATCCAGCCGTACGAAATTATAGTATCCATGGAGGAAAAAAAGTGAAATTGCGAAGAAATATTGAGGATGGATTACGTGTTGTTGTCGTACTGTGTCTGGCACTAGGTTGCTCATAGTGCGCGACTTTTGGCTATAACTTTGCAAATTAAATTTTCAAGGTGAGAGACAGATGGCCATTTATGTGATGTGTCAAGAAAGGAAAGGTGAGAAAATCCGCAGTCCTTGATCGGATCTGTTTTTATTGGCATATGATTAGAAGTATGGGCTATCCGAAACATAGCTTACTTGGCTTGAAGATGGAAGGGAGAAAATGAAATGGAAGAAGGCGGGGTACTATAACCTTTATAATATAGTTAAAAGGCCTCCGCCGCTTAATATATGGCTTAATAACTATACAGGAGGATGCCAGTCAACTTTATGTGAGAGAGAAACCAACAACAGGATTCATCCTTTTAGCTTGATTTGGTTGGCTTAGTTGTTCAGAGGTTATTCTATATTACTAATATTTCTCCAAAAAGAGTTAGCACTATTGAGCATTAAGGTATTTCTTGTTCTCCTTGGTAGGATTCTCAGTTTGCTTGAAAAGGCATCAATCTCCGAGATCCGGCATTACTGAACCGGCTTGGCAGCACTCACATGTTAATTTAGTTGCCCGTTCGCTGTATTTGACTATTTCTTGTTTCTTCTCGTAATTATGTCTGCAAAACAACCTATACCTTCATTCGACATGCTGGATCCAAACCGTTTACGTATACCTGCGGATGATGCAAAACCGACAGCCGTCCGTGAATACCTCACTAATGTCCTTCACTTTTCCTACAATGTACCCGTGAAACATGCCGAGGAATTAGTGTCTGGTTGACGCTACGGACGAGGCCATGCGCTGAATGAATATGACGTTGCTACGTTTCGTCAGATTTTTGGCGCTGAAGTTGGAGCGCTGCTGTATTATCATGTAAACAACAAGCTATCCGTATCAAGAAAAGCAACTGGTCCAATTTCCGGAAATGAGACTATAGAAGCAAAGAAAGACCTATTTGGGTTACCGCCAGGAGGTAAGTCTATAGTCATTTTGTCCTCATGTTGTATACTTCGACTTAGAGAGAAATAAACATGTTTACAAGAACGGAGTTTGTTTGTTTGTTTGTTTGTTTGTTTGTTTTATTATTAACGTCCACTAAGTAAGCTAGTTATATAAGTCCTTATCTAGGCACTAGGACGGTAGGAGCCGCCGAGTTTAGATTAGGCGTTCGCTATGTTTTAATGTAATAAAGGAAATAAGGAAGTATTAATCTGTTTTATGTATTTGTTTCTGTAGGGGGGGGGCCGTATGGGCTTATCTCCTCCACTAATTTCTGAAAATCCTTATACCCCCTGTCGCCGAGGAGGTATTAAATATAAGTAGTTCTAAAGCGCGCTTCCTTCTCCAATACGTTAGGGAGGAAAGGGGCTATTATATAATACTTTATAAAGTATCTTTATATCCTTAGCTCCCCGTATTTACAGGTGGGCCTAGCGTCGTATCTAAATCTTTTATAATATTTTATAAAGTCCCCGTGTTTAGACTTTTTAGCTAGTAGCCTATGTAGGATTAGGTATAGGAAATATAGTTCTAGGGGTATAGAGGGGGCTTTATAAAGGCCCCATCTATTGGTCTTATATAACTCTAGGTAGTTATTATTCCAGTTGTCGTCCTGTATTTCCCTACGTTTTTTTTTTACCTACCTTTTAATAAAGGTAATAGTAAAGTAGTTTCTTAAGTAGTAAGGGAGTTCTAAACCCTCCTTTACTAGTTAGTCGGCTTTTTTATTTCCTAGTATATCTTTATAGCCTAGGACTTAGGCTACCCTCGTAATTACTTATAAAAGTAGTTTCTAGGCAATTTAGCATAGCCCTATATAGGCTCCTTAGGATAAGGCAGGAGTTAGCCTTAGTTGTTACGATCTGGTCTTCCGTAACAGGCTGATCCCTTATAAATAGCTGGTTCCATCACAGTAATTGCTACAATTGCGATTATTGGCCTAATCTTTTGCCCTGTTTGGCTCAACGGTTTGATGGAATCGTTACACGATAATCGCATACAGCCAGTGGCCTAGGGTTCGATTCCGGCTTGGGTTAGCAAGCTAGATCGCATCGGACCTCCGCTGCTGACAAGGCCTGTGGAAAGACGTTACAGGGAACGTTACAGTGCCCTTGGGGGTTAGAACAGCTGTTTGACG